TAATTTTTGCTGAGCACGAATGTCTCCGATGTTGTTAATTCCTCTCAATTGGATGGATACACCGATGCTCATACTTGCACTCAATATGGCTTGGGAATATGGCCAAGAATTCGAGTCCCATTTGTCTGATAAGTTGACACGTTGTAACATAGTAGCTCCCGTTTTATATGATTGCAAAACGAAATGACAGTTACTCATATTCTTATCCGATATCATCGTAGTGACATTGCCAGTTTGTAATATCCAACTGTTGACAGAAGAAATATTGCAAACAGCTTGGCCATTTTTGATCAAGTTCATATCATTAGCAAGCGTTTTGTTCGGTAGTAGAGCGTCTTGAATCGAGAGAGCATTTTTTAGTTGACTGTCTTTAATACTAGTGCCACTAAAATCAGCCTTGTACAGATTGGCATAGAGAAAACTAACGTTAGTCATGTCAGCTCTTGCGAATAAAGCACGCTTAACATTCGAATGCCAAAAGTTCGAATGAGATAAAGTTGCATAATCGAAATGAGCTGCAATACAAGTCGTTAGTCGAAAATCTGTGTAAGATGCTTTGGCCCCAGAGAACTTGGCGGAAACTGAATGGCAATAGAAAAAATAGATTTCATGAAAAAAAAGAGCAAAATTATAGTGAACATTACCTAAAATAGCGGATGAAAAATTAGCATATTTGAACTCAGTATATTGAAAGCTAACTTTATGGAGCTCGGCGGATACAAATTTGACATCGTTCAGCAGAGAAGATTCGAATGTGACATTAAAAAGTAAAGCCAATGAAAAGTTTGCGTGGTCGAACTGTGCCGGCCAAAATTGAATACTATCGAGTTGGGCTAACGATAGATCAGTATTGAAGAACGCAGCCTTGAAAAAGTGAGCATCATAGAGCGTAGCCGATGAAAATTTGACACCGTCCAGCCGAGCGAGTGAGAATTTGATATCGGACAAGAAAGAAAATAAAAACTTGCAGTTGAAGAGCAAAGAGTTCGAAAAGTTGACATTTTTTAATTTGGCGGATGAAAAATCGATATTCTTGAGTGTCGCGAACGCAAAGTCAATATTCTCAAGCTTGGTGAACGAAAAATTAATATTCTCGAGTTCGGCCCACGAAAAGTTAATCGTATTGAGTTGAGTGAATGAAAAGTTAGCATTATTGAAGTGAGTGGATGAAAAATTGACATTGAGGAGTCTCCCAAATGAAAAGTTAACCGCATCAAACTCAGTATTAGCGAAGTTGATGTACTCCATCTCCATTTTTGTGAATGTGACATTCGATAGAAAAATACCTGTCAATGATAGTTGATTCAGTCGTTTTCCATTTACTGCTGCATCACGAAAATCGATGTCAGGAAGTTTTGCTGTCGAAAGATCCAAGGAAGAATTTTCTTGTATTCCAGTAAGTTGCTTGGCTTCGTGGAGGAAGCGAATAATGCGAATATTACGTTGCCCATCTAATTGACGAAAAATATTCAGAGTTTTTGCTCGAGCAAGCGTAGCTGCGACTTCATTTGAGGTTAGTGATCCATTGTATTCCTTTAGCAGCTGGCCCATCTCCTTAATGTAAGTATCAAAAAGTTCGTTTTTATATCTTTCATCGTTCAGGTTTCTGTCTTGTTCACGTTGCATTTGAGATGCATTTCGATCTTCATTACGTTGCAGTTGAGATGCATTTCGATCTTCATTACGTTGCAGTTGGGCTGCCATTCGATCTTCGTCACGTTGTTGTTTAGCAGCTTTCTGTTGCTCAAAAGTAATGACAATAGTGAAGACACCTAATGCAAGCGGCAGTAATAAAGAGGAGATAAACTTGAGAGCATCTTTGAGTTTCAAACCATATAATTGACGAGGTATAAGGAGGGATCGATCTGTTTGTGTACTTTGTTCTTGAGAAATCATTCTCTCTTCTTTTGATGTGTAGAAATAAATGAATAAATGATCAATAACGATAATGATTGAAGCTGAATTTTTTTTTACTGTTGATATCTCAAAGTAAGCAGAACGTGTTTTTAGAATTATGAAACATGAGATAGCTCTATGTCAACTCCATGAAAATCATGCTCCGATGCTTTTCGATTTGTCTATTGCATCAATTCATTGTTTGATCATTGGAATGTGACAAAGTAATATTCATTTGTCTCCCTTATTTGTGCCACATACAGATGTCAGTTAACATGAGCATTCCTGAACGTGAGAGATTGCCGATAAAAACTGATTTTATGAGGATAGAGCAAGAGATAATTCCATGATAATTATTTTGATCTTGCTGGATGTCTCATCAGATGACTTGAATGCAAGGGGGAAAAAGCGTATTGTGGGATTGTGGGATTGTCTGTATTCCCGTATCCCCAATGTATCGTGGGTATCGTATGTATCTCCAATGTATCATGAGTATCGTATGTATCACCAACGTAACGTCGGTATCGTATGTATCGCGGATACGAATGTTCCGCTGGCTGTACCCAGGTCCTCAAGTGCTATATTTTGGAGGTACCCATAGGTTCTCAAGTCCTATATTTTGGAGGTACCCATAGGTCATTTGGTCCTAGATTTTGGAGGTGCCCTTAGGTCCTCAAAGGCTATATTCTGGATGTACCCTTAAGTCCTCAAGGGCGATTATATAGCGATACCCTTAGGTCCTCAAAGGTTATATTTTGGAGGTACTCTCAGATTCTCAAGGGCAATAATACAGCGGCACCCTTAGGTCCTCAAGTCCTGTATTTTGGTGGTACCCTTAGGTCCTCAAGAGCGATCATACAGCGGTACTCTTTGGTCCTCAAGTTCCACATTTTGGAGGTACCCTTAGGCCCTCAGATCCTATATTATGGAGGCACCTGAGATCCTCAAGTCCTATATTTTCGAGGTACCCTTAGGTCCTCAGGTCCTCAAGGGCTCTTATATAGCGGTACTTTTAAGTCCTCAAGTCCCATTATATAGGGATACTCATAGGTCCTCAGAGGTTATTATATGAGGGTATCCATAGGTCCTTAAGAGCTATTATGCAGGGGCACCTTTAGGCTCTCAAATCCTATTATATAGAAATATTCATAGACCCTCACAGGCTATCCTATGGAGATATCCTTAAATCCTCAGCGGCTACTCTATAGGGACACCCATAGGTCCTTGAGAGCTATCCTATGGGAGTAGTCATAGGTCGTACAGAGCCACGCTATGAAGATTCTATGGTGTACCCATAGTTCCTCAAGTCTTATTATATAGGGGTACTCATAGACT